CTCAATTGCAGTATCATGAAAGAAGCCGATAGCAATGGGATAACAGAAGACAACAAACAACAGAGGGTCCTGTGGCACCTTTAGACAACAAATGTCATCAGAATACTGCTTCAAGCTATAGAAAGTTTTTTCAACAGATGTTCCAGAGTTTACCTAGTGTTTGTTTTCCTCATGGCCTGGCCTATTATAGTCATTCACAATGCAAGAGTCCAGACCTCCAAGGCTAACAGCACGCATCTCCTTAGCAACATCAGAACAATAGGTGTTCCTAGTTTATGGCAAGATGCAAAGGAAACAAGAGAGCAGTGTACATTAACCTACAGCACACCCTTACACTTACTGACAGGGAAGAGCTGAGCGGATGTGGCTATTTCACGGGAATTACAATGCTGTGTGTTGAAATGGACTAGCTAGTGTGTATGGCAAGTCCAGCCCCCTAGTGGACAGAACCAGTGCGGCTCAGGGCATTTTGATTTATGTTGTCCTCTAATGTCCACCAGGCAAAAAACTTTTACCCTAATGGAGGCAGATATAAGTATTCATATAGTCATTTGTTACATGGTTCTGTTCTGCCATTCTAGGTAACAGAACTAATAAAATACAGTAATCTTGTGATTAAGGAAAATTAAGAGTAAGTGGAGGAATGCAGAATGGAGATTTCTTTTTATGTTGGTAAATGTATTAAAAGGTGGGGTTGAACGTTAGAATTTTAAAGATACAGATATTAATGTACATTGTGAGGTGCTTGAAGCTTTTATCACCAGCTGTTGATTCCCTTAAAAGATAATAGGAGAAGATGGTAAGCACTACTTGATCTGGGCTTTCAAGGTTGGGGCTGGATTCTTCCCTTCGGCAGAGAAGTCTATGGAAGAGGCAGTATTTTTCCAGGCAATTATCTCCTCAGGAGGGAGGGTGCAGATTGTGGGCAAAAGGTGTAGTCTCCCAATCCAGCAGATCCTGGGAAGAAAGCAAGTCCATGGGATGCAGAGGCAAAAGCTGTGTCTGTGGCTATCCCAGCTGCTCTGCTGAGTCTGACATGGCTGCACAGTGGTCCAAACCTCCAGTAATGTGCATGCAGGTATGTGCGTGCAGGCGCGTGCACACACATCTACAAGTACACCGTGGGTCTGTTGGTGAAAATTGTATCCGTGGGGTGTGCAGGTGATAGCCCATCCAAGTATACGTGTATACAAAGCGGGGCATGCATTAGTGGAGGCCACTTTAGGGAGCCACTGAACCTCAGTCCCCGAACATATATTATTTTATTTCTACAGCACCATTAGTATGTGTGGTATTTTATAGACAAAATACAGGTTATTTAATTATAGGGTTACTCAGCTTATGGCATAAATGTAATTATCAGGTTAATTCAATTATTCATTATTGCTATAGTATGAAAGGCACTTTTGGTTCAGGGTGATGGGATATGGGGCCTTTCACTTCTAGGCTATGGGTTGGACTATAGCCAACATTGGGGATGACTGAAGACTTAGTTGCTGTCCTATGTAAAAGGAGTTGGTGATGTCAGTCCAGTACTAAGTGGACATATGCCCTCATCACAGCTGGCATCTGTATTAATGCTAATGAGCCTTCCTGTAAGTGTGCAAACTGAGGAGAGAACATATTCGTCTTGGCCGGAAATGAATAGCAGTGCAGATTTCTTTGATTTACGTGTGGTTTCTGTCACACTCTCTAATTTCTTCCTGACAGGGAATGGAAGAAATTTCAAAAGCCTATAGCAAAAAACTTTAAAAGCATTACTTGTAGTCTGTCTTGCCTGCTCCTCCTTGCCCCTGTTTTCTATCCCTTCCCCTCTTATTTTGGTTGCATAGTTTGTCCCTTTTTTCTCTTCTCCATTGTGCATGTTGGCCACTGCAAAGTGAGACTGGATGGAATCGTCAACTCAGGAGTGCTGCTAGACATAGAACTTTTGGAGGATATGCATCTCAACTCAAGATGTAGAGATCAAAATTCAGCTTCACTTTGCTTCTGGCTGCAGGAAGAACAGAATGGAGTGAAGGGAGCAAGACGAGTGTAAAGCACAAGAATAGAAGTGAAGGCGTGGGGGAGATACAATGTAAAAATCATTATAAAGAAATGTTCTCAGATAGTTTGGGCCATCTGCTGTTATGCCATAAGGAATATCCATAAGTGTCTGCACACCTGGGAGCTCAGGGCAAGGAAGGGCTTTTTTTCTAGACAGACCTGTCAAGGGTATTATTCAAGGAATGGGAGATACCGTTTTTTCCCCCCCGTAGGGACAAATGAAAGTTTATTTGCCCCTCGAGTTCTTGTTTTATTTTCCCCTTTTAACAAAATGATCTTAAAATATAAAATGTAAAAACCACTGCATTGTGAATAAATACATTGTGTACTGGAAAATGAATTAAGAGCAATAGGCATTAAAAACTTTCATTCATTCACGGCCCAATTTGCTGCGGTGGGTCTTTTGCTCATGGTTTGTGTTAGGAATCCTGTTTGTGGTGTTTTTTCCAATTTAATGCTGATGTCGTTTACCTCATGTTATTGAACATTTTCTGCTACACTCAGACTCCGTGCTCGCGAGAGGGGAAGTATTGCCTCTTAAAGGCGCCCAGGGGGTGGTATGTAATTGTCACTGGGTGGGGGCTCGAGCCGGTTTTGCATTGCGTTATTGAAACGGAACCCCTAGATACAGAACCCGGCCCTCGTTGCTGCCAACTTAGATGGGCAGAAGGGTTACACACACAACACAGCTGAAGCTCAATTTTCAAACAGACTCCTTCACCCAAACCCAGCAAAGCCCAGAACCCCAGACTCTCAGCTTTAAGCACGAGAGTTGCCTCACTGAAGCCTTTGGAATTACTCATACGCTTAAAGATGAGCTTTCTCTGGACAGGACATTTGGCTGCTCAGATTGGAACACAGGTGCCTTATTTTCAGCCTCAGGCCTTCACTGGCTAACATGAACATTGGTGCATTAATGCCTGTGTGCGCACTTGAAAGGGTTCAAGTTAATGGGCATTTCGGTGCATCTGACTTGCAAGGCTTTAATTTCACAAAATGCAGGTGTGAACTTCTTATGCAATACCCAAATAACAGCAATGGTTGTGTAGTGTGGCAACTGCTGGGGTAACTATAATAATCAAGGTTATGGGATTAGCAAAGAAATATACTGCGTACTCATGTCACTGAAACAATACCAAAACGGTAATTAAGGAATTAAAAACACCTTGATGGCCATGTTGGGGCAACCTAGTATGGCTCCTGTCAAAGAATACTGCACCTCTGTAACCTACTAGAGTTCTTTGAACGTGTGTCCACAATGTAGTGGATAATGGAAAACTGGGTGATATGATATGATTTATGTGGAATTTCAGAAAACCTTTGACAGTCAGTCATTCACAAGAGGCTATTAAGGAAACTAATACTATCATGGACTAGAAATTGGCTAATAAAAATAAAGAGTGGAAAAGAAACCATTTGTTCCATCATGGCAAATGATTAACAGTGGGCTGCCCTACGGACCTGTAGTAAGATTGGTTTGTTTGATATACATATAAATGATCTGAAAAGGAAGTGAAGTGATAGAAACATCTGTAGTGAACAAAATTTGACAACTAGAAGAGATTGTGAGGAACTAGAGAGAGAGAGAGAGTCCTGAATTGGCAACATCACAGCAGATGAAATGGAAGGAATTTGAACTACTCATACACATTGCTGGATTCTAAATTAACTGTAATCACTCAGGAAAAAAGATTGGTGGGTCATTGTGAACACCTCAATGAAAATCTCTGCTTGCTGTGCAGCAGCAGTAAAAAACCCAAACAAAATGTTAGGCAATATAAGGAAAGGAATAGAAAACAATACTGATAACAGTGTAGTGCTATTATATCAGTCAGCAGTACACCCTCACCTGGAATACTGTGTTCAGTTCTGCTCACACTGTCTCCAAAAATATACAGCAGAAACAGAAGGGGCCAGAGAAGGGCAATGAAAATCATTAGAAACATGGCAAGACTGCTATATGGGGAGAGATTGAAAAGACCTGGCACTCCTTGGCTTATTGAGGCGATGCATGAGAAATTGGTTGCTCCTATTTACCTTTTCACAGACTATAGGAACAAGTGGATATTCAATGAAATTGAAAGGGAGAAACTGATAAAATGAAATACACAACACATAATTAACCCACAGAAATTCTACAAGGTATCATTGATGTCAAATGCTTAGTACGATTTAACAAGGATTTGACAATTCTGTGGGCAATGAGAAACTCCACAATTATGTTAAAACAGGATGATTTTTTTATAAGGGGTATAAACTCCATTCTCCAGGACATAAGCCAACCACTAACTACTGGGATAAGGAATAAATGTCCCCTCTGGGCAGGTTATTATAAATTGTCTACTAGGGGATTCCTTGTACCATCCAATGAAGTCTTTATCTTGCACCTTCCTATGAATCAAGTCACTGTCAAGAGATACTGACTTCTGGGCTCATCTGGAATGGCAATCCTGAATAAATTACCTCCTAAAAGTTACTAGTGGCAGTAATAAGTACCGTAAAATTATCCAGGCACATTTATCACAAAGTTTAGGCAACAAATTAATACTAAGATAGTTTCCAAGATCCTGCCTTTTCTGGAGTGCTGGGCCGGTACTTGTGGAATTGAGAAGCAAATAGTGAGTTGGTAAGAGGTATAGCCAGAATTTCAGTGTTGTACATGCCTCAACTGTCGCCCCCACACCATTCCTCGGCATCCCTCCCCCACAAATACCTGTAAATAAAACACACCAGAGAGGTGTGTGACACAGTCCACATTGCCTCACATGACTCAGCAGGAAAAGGGAGGGAGGTGAAGAAGTGGATCGATGGAAAATTGTGTGCAGAGTCTGGACCTTTTTCATGTGCTTATTACTCATGCAGTATGACAATAACTTTTCCATGAATTGGGCTCTTTTATCAATTGCCATAATTAAAACCCAACAGAAAGGACTGTTGCTGTTTAAATCACATACCGATTCCATTCACAACAGGCACATCATTATTAACTTCCAACATGCTGGGCAAATCATGTTCTCCTTCGTGGCCATTTAAATCCATGTTTTGCTGTTGTGAGCCATTCCCAAAATGTCTAGAATCTTTCTCGTGACCAGCATCTCCATTCTGTAGGCCATTGTGAGGCTTTTTCAATGGCATGATCTGTAAACCACTGGGGGTAGTTCGGTAAGTCACAGTTTTAGCAGCCCTGTCACCAGCAGGTGCCGGCTTTGCTGTGTACCCTCTTTTCTGTTTTTGAAGAGATGGGTTAATTCGCTTTCTTTTATGTGTTGACCCTTTGGCCTTCCCAGATTCAGAAGGTCTGTGTGATATTTTCTCAACAGATGACCCTCGGCTTTCTCGTAAAAATTTTGGCGCACTGGTCTGTTTCCCATGTTTTGCTCGCTTTTCTCTAGTGACACGTAGTCCGTTGAACTCATCAATAAATTCCTCACAATGCAATAGGTGATGCTCAGGTTCCCACGTGTCCTCATTGCTTCCATAGCCTTTCCATCTGATAAGATATTCCCATTTGCCCTTTTTGTTCTTCCTTTTGTCAACAATCCTCTCAACCTAATAGAAAAAGAGGAGATACCATTAGCTGTTCGAAAGAAAAACAATTCAGTCATGAAAAACATTTAGGGTCTGATCCCCAGTTACACTAAGGATCCTATACACTGCCAGAGGCTGTTTACCAGGACCTTAGTGTAAATGAGAATCAGGTCCCTATTGTGAATATAAACTGATATTGCATTCTGGCACTGAACGCTGTGTACTGTCTAAGCAGGCTAAACAGAAATTTTGCCAAACAGATCAAACATATTCTCATTTTTTAGAAACCTCTCCGATCCCCTCCCCACACTTGTAGTCCCATCAGATCCTCAAAAGACCCTGGCTGACTGTTGATGTGGCCTACCTGGCTCCTGCATATACTGCTTGATATTCCATTTATGTATCACAGCTAAATGTCCCCATTTATCAAAGAATGCTCACAAGCAGATCTGGCTGTATATATGGAGGAACTTTGCTGGCCCATTTGGTACGTTAATAGCAATCCCATTTGCAGGCACTCACCTGTTTTCCCTGTGAAGAAATCTTAACTGTAATAATGTACAACCGTGTTTCCTGAGTATGGCTAACTCTGGGAATATATGAGGCTTAGGATCAGTAAAGAATGTGTTACCATTGAAACTGCATTTCTAAAATGAGACCATATTGTCATCCTCCTCAGCTGTCTCCCGTTGAAAAAAGCTAAAGTATCTTTTGCTGCACTCTTTATACATTGAACGTGTGTACGTATGCTCTGATAGTGACAGTTCTCTTATTACCTGAACTATAGGAATTCCTGCTACTTCATCTCTGAAACTATCTTGCAAAGAAATCGTACTAAATTGTGTGGTCATCCTGTATATTGAGGGCCACATTTGCAACATTGTGTGTGCACTTTTATATTTGCCAGCTCTCCCGAAGTCCGATTTCTCTATGGATGCAGTGTTTGCACTGAAATTTGTGCACACACATCAGTGTATGTGAACTTAGCACATTTATTTTTGAAAATCTGGCCTCTGATGACTGACACTAAACTGAAACTAACTGATTTGCATCTGACACCAAACTTAATTCAGGTCTCCAGATGTATAAAGCAAAAGTTAACAGTACTGGTACAGACAAAGAAAAAATTAAATGGGTTAGTGCAACAACTTTTATTGGTCCCCTGAGGTGAAAAGTCGGCATTTTTACATGCATTGTGCCACTTCCCTCAGCTTATTTTCACTTCTCCCCGCCAAAACTAAATACCTGTTTAACAGTTATCTCCTATTCCTTTCTGGACATATCTACTATTAGCTCCTTAACTACCCTTTAAACTACAAAAATGTCCAACTGAATTCATTTTGCACATGCATATGTTGATTTGTTTGCACAATTACATTTTTTTCCATACATAAAATTGATGCCCTCAAATTCTGAAGGCATGATTAAAAAAAGCATGCTGAAAAACTGCTGACCATAATACTTATCAGTAATAGATTCATAGATTCTAGGACTGGAAGGGACCTTGAGAGGTCATCGAGTCCAGTCCCCTGCCCGCATGGCAGGACCAAATACTGTCTAGACCAGTCCTGATAGACATTTATCTAACCTACTCTTAAATATCTCCAGAGATGGAGATTCCACAACCTCCCTAGGCAATTTATTCCAGTGTTTAACCACCCTGACAGTTAGGAACTTTTTCCTAATGTCCAACCTAGACCTCCCTTGCTGCAGTTTAAGCCCATTGCTTCTTGTTCTATCCTTAGAGGCTAAGGTGAACAAGTTTTCTCCCTCCTCCGTATGACACCCTTTTAGAAACCTGAAAACTGCTATCATGTCCCCTCTCAGTCTTCTCTTTTCCAAACTAAACAAACCCAATTCTTTCAGCCTTCCTTCATAGGTCATGTTCTCAAGACCTTTGATCATTCTTGTTGCTCTTCTCTGGACCCTTTCCAATTTCTCCACATCTTTCTTGAAATGCGGTGCCCAGAACTGGACACAATACTCCAGCTGAGGCCTAACCAGAGCAGAGTAGAGCGGAAGAATGATTTCTCGTGTCTTGCTCACAACACACCTGTTAATACATCCCAGAATCATGTTTGCTTTTTTTGCAACAGCATCACACTGTTGACTCATATTTAGCTTGTGGTCCACTATAACCCCTAGATCCCTTTCTGCCGTATTCCTTCCTAGACAGTCTCTTCCCATTCTGTATGCGTGAAACTGATTTTTTCTTCCTAAGTGGAGCACTTTGCATTTGTCTTTGTTAAACTTCATCCTGTTTAACTCAGACCATTTCTCCAATTTGTCCAGATCATTTTGAATTATGACCTTGTCCTCCAAAGCAGTTGCAATCCCTCCCAGTTTGGTATCATCCGCAAACTTAATAAGCGTACTTTCTATACCAATATCTAAGTCGTTAATGAAGATATTCAACAGAGCCGGTCCCAAAACAGACCCCTGCGGAACCCTACTCGTTATGCCTTTCCAGCAGGATTGGGAACCATTAATAACAACTCTGAGTACGGTTATCCAGCCAGTTATGCACCCACCTTATAGTAGCCCCATCTAAATTGTATTTGCCTAGTTTATCGATAAGAATATCATGCGAGACCGTATCAAATGCCTTACTAAAGTCTAGGTATACCACATCCACAGCTTCTCCCTTATCCACAAGGCTCGTTATCCTATCAAAGAAAGCTATCAGATTGGTTTGACATGATTTGTTCTTTACAAATCCATGCTGGCTGTTCCCTATCACCTTACCACCTTCCAAGTGTTTGCAGATGATTTCCTTAATTACTTGCTCCATTATCTTCCCTGGCACAGAAGTTAAACTAACTGGTCTGTAGTTTCCTGGGTTGTTTTTATTTCCCTTTTTATAGATGGGCACTATATTTGCCCTTTTCCAGTCTTCTGGAATCTCTCCCGTCTCCCATGATTTTCCAAAGATAATAGCTAGAGGCTCAGATACCTCCTCTATTAGCTCCTTGAGTATTCTAGGATGCATTTCATCAGGCCCTGGTGACTTGCAGGCATCTAACTTTTCTAAGTGATTTTTAACTTGTTCTTTTTTTATTTTATCTGCTAAACCTACCCCCTTCCCATTAGCATTCACTATGTTAGGCATTCCTTCAAACTTCTCGGTGAAGACCGAAACAAAGAAGTCATTAAGCATTTCTGCCATTTCCAAGTTTCCTGTTACTGTTTCTCCCTTTTCACTAAGCAGTGGGCCTACCCTGTCTTTGGTCTTCCTCTTGCTTCTAATGTATTGATAAAAAGTCTTCTTGTTTCCCTTTACTCCTGTAGCTAGTTTGAGCTCATTTTGTGCCTTTGCCTTTCTAATCTTGCCCCTGCATTCCTGTGTTGTTTGCCTATATTCATCCTTTGTAATCTGTCCTAGTTTCCATTTTTAATATGACTCCATTTTTTAGATCATGCAAGATCTCGTGGTTAAGCCAAGGTGGTCTTTTGCCACATTTTCTATCTTTCCTAACCAGTGGAATAGCTTGCTTTTGGGCCCTTAATAGTGTCCCTTTGAAAAACTGCCAACTCTCCTCAGTTGTTTTTCCCCTCAGTCTTGATTCCCATGGGACCTTACCTATCAGCTCTCTGAGCTTACCAAAATCTGCCTTCCTGAAATCCATTGTCTCTATTTTGCTGTTCTCCCTTCTACCCTTCCTTAGAATTGCAAACTTTATGATTTCATGATCACTTTCACCCAAGCTGCCTTCTACTTTCAAATTCTCAACGAGTTCCTCCCTATTTGTTAAAATCAAGTCTAGAACAGCTTCACCCCTAGTAGCTTTTTCAACCTTCTGAAATAAAAAGTTGTCTGCAATGCAGTCCAAGAATTTGTTGGATAGTCTGTGCCCCGCTGTGTTATTTTCCCAACATATATCTGGACATATAAATAATAAATTCCAAGAAACCTTTGTCTATTCTTGGGCAGCGACTGTGTCTTCATTTATGTTTGTGCCACCCTGAGCACACTTGTGGCCGTCAATGAATAATAAAAGAATATAAGCAGACTGCTACTTCTACCTGCGTCTTGCAGTGATGCTTCAGTTTAATATTTTAGGCATAACAATTACTTATATGATAGGGTGTATGAAATCATTGAAGGAACTGAGCATCAAAAGGAGATGGTGATTAGAAAGGGGAAAGCTGGTATTTACACATTTTAATGGGCAACTACGGGAAAGAGAATACAGATGAAATGCAGGACTATCCAAGAAATTTGAGTCTGCGTGTTTATCTTTGAATGTTCATAGTTTTAAATCAATCTATTTAGTGCAGCATCAATAGAATCCTGAAGGAAAGAGATCCATTTGGAAATAGAAAATAATTCATTAGAGTTAAAATGATTACAACTACAGTGCAACACCCATTATCAGCAACTGAGGTCTGTTTCTTAAAAGGTATAAAACAAAAGTGTCCAATGCTTTTCCAGATTAGATATATAACCAATCCCACATATTTTTATCCATTCACAGCTCAAAATTATGTTGAGATGTAGTAAAGGGCAAGAGTACATATTAGTAATTTATGTTAAAATACATTACATGGTTATTGTAGGTTTCCCCAAACTAAGCATTATAAACTCACACTGTTGAATATCGTTATAGCATCAAGCACAATTACTAGGCCTTTCAACCTGGCCCCCTTTTCCCTGTGGCTTCATGTCCTTCATTTATGCCAACCCCCTTTGGAGTGCTGCTCTGCCCTCTAAATGTATTCAGCAGAAGCACAACAGTGCTTCAGTTCGGACATGAATTTCATATTTGTTCCCCATCACGTGGTACAACTTCCACCAGTTCCCTTCAATGTGCAGTGAACACCAACAGCATGATTGTCCATATATTTTTTCCAAAATGATTGGTTTTAATTTCTACTATATCAGTTGAAAATGCTCTGTAATAATCTTCTTGCATTTAGTGTAAGCTTTCAGAAATTCATAGGAATTGTTCTTAAGAAATTATTCTGACAACTAGTGATTAATGGAAATGATATTTTAGTTTTTTTCTCAGAATACACAATTT